TGTCATTATCCCATAATAATTACTTATATTTATAGATTGGTTGTCACTGAATACGGGGCCAGTAGTTGGAGGCGGCCTGCATGGCATTGGTGAGGTCAGTGGTCTGCCCGGGCACCTGTACGGGCACCGACACCCCGGGTGATATCAGACCTAATATCAGGGAAAAATAAATAGAAATTAATTTTTCAATTCATTTGTTACGAAACGATAGGAAAGATCGATAAAAATGTTTTCTCCAAACATATCATTTGATTCACTGGTTTCATGGCCACAAAAATTTAACGCAAAATTAGTTTTTCAATCATTTGATTAACACGAGTGAATCCCTGGACCGTAACCTCACAGCTATATACTGTATATCTAGACACCGGCCATACCTACTCCCAGATTACATCTCAATACACATAATATAATTCATTTTCATTACAAACATAATTTGACTTAAAAACTGCTGTATATTCCTATCAAACGTCAAATGATATCTGATTTTAACACATGATTAGTGTTTAATTGAAACCTTCATTACATTCCTATATAAAACTAATAGAGGGCACAGGTATGTCAGTGGTATGGTTTACCGGTAGAGTTTGCCGGGTTGTTGACACCACCGAACTGTCCGTTTTGCATGGCGTGCACCTGAGCCGCCGATGGGCACGAGGGCCGCGAATAGCCTCCCAGTGTGATGGGGTCGTAGCCACGGCCGGGCCCGGGAGGTAACATACATGAGTAGGACGAGGCGGCCGCGGCGGCCGCCGCCTGTTGTTGTAGACACGAATTGGACGCCATATTATTGGCCATCGAATAGGATGTCATTCCCATCGAACTGAATGTCATAAACAAAGAATATTTAGTAAAATACAAGAATATTCCGGATATTCTGGTAATTACTTAATATACCTGTAAGTGTCGGCCATTGACGCCATGGGCTGCGGAATGGTAGGGTAGAGGGAGTTGCCGAACCCGGTGTTGATGGGTATGCGCGATGGCGGTGCGGGTGCCGGTGCCGAGTGGACTACCGACGCCTGTTCGGCGGCGCGCCGTTGGTTACGGAGCTTCTCCTCGCGCCGCCATTTGGCGCGTCGATTGCTGAACCAAACCTGCATAATATGATCGTAGGCCTGAATAATTAACACATAATCACATTCATGTATGTATTGACCAACAGATACTGGTGCTTAGTGTAGGTGCGACGGGCGCCTAATCGTGACCATTATTTTATTATATTATTTTATGTGTCGCTATATTGTGTATACTAGATGTAGAAAAATAATTATATTGCTCTATTTGCTTGATAAATTAATGGATTAATGGCTAGTTGTTTTAGTCCAATAATAAATAAATAACTTTTTTGCTAGTGTAATAAATATGATGATGGTATTAATTACAGTTTGATATTATTATGAAAGAGTTTCATATTAGATTTAATATAAACAAATAGTTATATATCTTAACTAATCATATAATGGTTAATATCACAATAAGTTTGGATTGAGAAATAATGGTTAGTTTTTAAGCACCCGTCACATAATTTATTTTTTTATAAAGTAATAATTCAAATATTAAATTTGAAAATGTTCACATCCCTTTCCCATTCTGTTCTCAATATTTAATTAATTTTTAAAAATTATTTTGAGTTATATTTTAAGACTTAGTTTGTTATGTAATTAATTAACGATTAATTTGTTCACCAAATATGAAGATGTGAATCAATTTTCAAATTTAATAATTAAATTCAGTGTTTAATGCGAGATATATAAGGGGATGAGTCGCACCTGTATCCTAGCCTCAGGCAAATCGATTTTGGCGGCCAGTCGTTCCCTCGCAAACACATCCGGATAATGGGTTCTCTCGAACTCTATAAATACATGGAATTATTGATCAGTCAATTGGATATAATGCAAATCATTAAGGAATGAGCAAGCTAATTATTGTTACACTTAAACGCCAAATATGTAATTGTAAAGTGTATATTAAATTGAACAAAGTCACTTACATAGTATTAGACTAGTTAATAACTTAGTTATGTACTAGTTTTAATATTTTAAGCATATTTATTTAGCTGGTTATTTAATTAGGGTAATGTTTTATTAATGTTAATATAGATATATTTTTATAAATGTCTGAAATTACTATTTATTGATAGGAAAAAAATTATAAAAATGTTTGCTTTTTGTAAATCCCTTTTGAGTGCAATTAGGTGTTTGCATGGATTCACAAATTGATTGATAAATGTCATGATTTTAATTGAATTCTTTACGGTTTACATGAGACCTAAACTCATAATTAAATAAATACTGATATATCGCTCACCAATTCACTCATCGATAAGTTTTGTCCACAAAAATATGATTATATTTCATAATTTGTCGACAAAATTGAGAAAAATTAATTAATGACTGAAAAACACTGGATGTCTAATTCATCTGTCATTATATAATAATAATAAAAATAATTTCCAAAAACTAAACCACCATTTGATTTGATATAATGATAGCAAATATATCTCAACGTCTGTCGTGTTATAGAAATTAATTTTTAGAGAAATATATATTACTTTCAATTCATTTGATACGAAATTTTTTATTAGATTTTGATAAGACTTTTAAAATTAGTGATTACTTGAGAGACTGGGGATTCATAGTTAGTTAAGGGATGGTAAGGGGGAATGGGATGTGTATGGAGTGGACATACCTTTTTCGAGTGCCTCGATCTGCTCGGGTGTAAATGAGGTGCGATTTCGCTGTAGTTTTCTCTTAAGCCTAAGTCTGGCGGCGGAGTCGCCTTCGGAGCTGTCGTTATGGGACGAGTCCTCAGTCCCGGAGTCGGCCTCTGATTTGCATTCAATTCATGAGATTTTAGTTATTTATTTATTTTGACATAAATTTTAATTTTAAAAGTAGTTTTGTTTGTGTTTATATGTAGATTTGTATTTAGAAATATTGATAAAATTCTATTTTAATTACGATAATGGTTTATAAGTTATAAATTATAACTGTAAATTAATATTGAACAATATTAAAATATGTTAAGCTATTTGCTATTTTAACAACTGGAAGTCAATGCACAAACCTTTTATTTTAATTTATATTACATATTTAACAAATATAATTGGGTTTCTAAATTATTATCTTATTTAATTTTAAAATAATTAATAATCAATTATTCATCTGCTTAGTCCAGCCACATAAAAATAAATTACTATTTGTTTTTGTTATAAATACAAAAATAGTATTAATTACAGTTTGATATTATTATTATTATTATTATGAAAGCATTTAATATTAGATATAAACAAATAGTTATATCTTTTAACTAATCATATAACTCAAAATAATTTAGAAAAATTAATTAAATATAGAGAACAGAATTGGAAAGGGATGTGAACATTTTCAA